TTATCAAAGGCAGGAGTTTGCAAGACAACATAATGCTGATGAAGTCTGACTTTCTGGAGCATTCAGTGTTTCAAGGAGCCGATCGAGCAGGCCCCTTGTTGCTTGACTTTGCCGCTGCTTTCCCGAGCTTAGCGCGTGCATGGATCCTGGCAGCATTACAACAGATGTTTATCCTTGAATATGTCGTGGACGCTGCTCAACAACTGCATCGGGATATTTACACAAGCATCCGACTAGGAGGAGGCACATTCGGAGGTTACTATACCGCACGTGGTATCAAGCAGGGGTGTTCGTTATCTGGCGTACTATTTGGTGTAGCTGCTGATCCTATTTTCAGGTGCATGCACTCAGCTATGGTTCCCCTGGCTCGCCCATTTGCATTCGCGGGCGACATTGGCACTGCGTCTTGCGACCTTGTCCGCGCGCTCCCCATCGTGCTGAGATTGCTCTTGCAGGCCGCGTTGGTGATGGGCCTGATCTCGAACCCAGGCAAGTGCTCGCTGGTATTTGCTGTGCCATACTCCAGAAGAGATGTGTGTGAGATGTTTCGTGGATCGGGCATTAAAACTAGGCCGTATCGGGTCGACACCTGCGGCAAGTACCTAGGAGTTTACGTCGGCCTGATGGGGCCTAAGGCGTCGTGGGACGCTCTTGGGGCCAAATGCATCAAGCGAGTCTGGCACATCAGCAGTCTTTCACTAGGATTATGTCAGAGTACCATTGCGTACAACTCGCTGGCCTTCTCCGTGCTCAGCTTTGCGGGCCAGCTGTACCAGGCTCCACCGGCTGTCTTGAGAGAAAAAAAAAAGGCTTCTTGCATCCGCTCCCAGGCGCTCCATTCCAGCCGATATTGCGTGGTCCCCGTCGGTGCTCTGTTTCCCCATGATCCCAGAGACCTCCAGAGAGAGTCCAGAGCCAGTATGTATCGGGTTGCCCTGAAATCCCAATGGTTCTCCGAAGTGCGAGGAAGGTTTGTTTGGCTGGAGGACGAGGAGATTGCAGAGTGGTGCGAATCCAGTCTATGTTACTCACTGATTACCAACTACAAGCAGCTGATTGCTATTCCCATGATGATAGATGACCCCGACACTGACATGCTGCAGAAAACAAGTGAATACCCTTCTGAGCCGTAGGCAGGCACCAATCTTTGCCAATTTAGCCCTCCTCCCTCGTATCGGACATTTTGACAACACTGCCCAGCTTCCCAAGGCTGATTGAATTGTTATGCGCATCAAGCTTGCGAACACTAAACTTGCCCCATTTGTGGGCGCTGCTGTATTGAAAGGAGTTTGTAATTCTTGGGCCACCAGTGCCAGGTATCGTCAGGGGCGGAATGCTTGTCTGTCCGGGTGCAGAGCGTGTGGAGGAGTCCAGATCCTCCATTATTTTGATTGCCCTTGTGCCCTCGAGCCACTCTGTCTTGTTCTGCCTCATCTTCCCGCTGACTTCCTCTCCTGGACGGCCCAGGACCGCTTGCTGCTTCACAGTCATAATACGCACTCCTCTCCCGCCTTGTACTCTACCATGCTAGCTCACGATCTTTTATTCAGCACGTTCAATTCTCTCAGGAGCATGAAACGGTTCGGCCCTGAGTGCGTACTCACCTTTTTTACAAAGCTCGTGCGAGGGCTATCTCGAAGCGGAAACCTCACATTCGAGCTCTGGTTCAGCGTTGACGTGAGCTCCTGGGGATCTGGAGCTTGAAGGGGCTGCGCCATCATCATCATCATCATCATCATCATCATTATCATCGCTCATTCAATCATTCACTCACTCACTCACCCACTCATCCGCTAGCTTGAATATGGAGGATGTATCAGGCGGGGAGCCTCGTCTGTGAGTGAACTGTGAGGGAGTCTTAGGCATAAGCCCTCCCCCTATAGGGCCCGCACTTCATGTTTTTTTTTATAATAAAAAAAAAAAAAAAAAAAAAAAATCCGAGCGGGCCATCCTCGAACCTCTAACTGTCGTTATTGCTGGGCTCCCGAGGCTTGAGTATGGAGGATGCATCAGGCGGGGAGCCTCGTCTGTGAGTGAACTGTGAGGACGTCTCAGGCTGGAAGCCCCCTCCCTGTGGGGCCCGCACTTCACGTTTTACTCCGAGCGGGTCATCCTCAACCTTGTAATTGTCGTCACTTTGGGCTCCCGAGGCTTGAGTATGGAGGATGTATCAGGCGTGGAGCCTCGTCTGTGAGCGAACTGCGAGGAAATCTCATGCGGGAGCCCCCTCCCTGTGGGGCCCGCATTTCACGTGTTCAATCCGAGCGGCTCATCCTCGAACCTGTAGCTGTCGTCGCTGTTGGGCTCCCGAGGCCTGAATATGGAGGATGTATCAGGCGGGGAGCCCCGTCTGTGAGTGAACTGTGAGGAAGTCTCAGGCCTCTATGGAGCCCGCACATCATGTTTTAGATATGAGCGGGTCATCCTCGAACCTCTAATTGTCGTCATCGCTGGGCTCCCGAAGCTTGAATATGGAGGCATCAGGCGGGGATCCTCGTGTGTAAGTGAACTGTGAGGAAGTCTCAGGCTGGGAGCCCCCTCCCTATGCGCTCTTCAGAGGGTGATTCGCCCGACCCATCAGGTGAGGAGGAAGAGGAGGAACAGGAGGTGAGGACGACGACGGCGGCCGGGCGCAGGGGGAAACCCTTGCGTCTGGGCCGGGGGTGGCAATCCATCCTCAACCGAAGCGGGCGCATGGGGAAACCCTTGTGTCCGGGCTGGCGGTGGTAACCCATCGTCAGCCAGATCGGGGGCAGGGGAACCCCTTGTCTCTGGGCTGGCGGTGGTAGCCCATCGTCAGCCGAATCGGGCGCAGGGGGGAACCCTTGCGTCCGGGCCAGGGGTGGTAACCCATCCTCGACCGCATTGGGTTCGCCGCAAAGCTTGGCTTAGTGTTGCCACCCCCCTGAGCGCGGCCGTAACTAGCTCGGTGCCTGCGGGGTTGTCCCATCGGCTTGTTCCCGCGCCCCAGCGGCTCGCGCGGTTGCCCCAACGGCCTGGCTCGCGGGGTTGTCCCAACGGCCGCGCGACGTGGCCATTCGGGAATGCGCCCGCGCTGGCCGAGGCGGCGACGGCGTCGAGGAAAATCGATGCGCAATAGATAGGAGAGGAAGTGGTGGGTGACGAAACAAACAGCAGGAGGGCGAGGCACGGACAACGCGGGGAGCGGGTGAGGGCCCTGCGCCAGGGCGAGAATGATAATGGCGCAGAGAAGACAATAAGGGCGCCTCACTAATCGCGAGGGCGACAGTGAAGGTTGTTTCCAGATTAGCCGAAAAGGATGTTCATGTGGGGCCTTTCCGTCGGAGTAGTTTCTCGGGCCCTGGGATCCCTCACAGATCGATGCGGTTCGAAGCATGATGCAAAGCGACGCTGAAGGCCTGCTGTCCCCAGGCCTCCAGCGCCTCGAGAATCCCAGTGGCCTCGAGGAGGGCCCTCGCCTGGCCCCGGGCAGGGCTCGTCGCCGCTCCTCCGAGTCGATCCGATGCTGATTTCGATGGCTTCCCATTCCGATTCGATTCGGCTTCGGAGTCCGATCTGGGTTCCGACGTCTCAACGGAGGTCTATTAGCTTGCCGATGCGACTCCTCCCGATCTGGCTGCCGATATCCGCCGATCCGGTTCACTTCGATCGCCGATCCCATTTGTCGATTCGATTCTCGGCTCTCTTGCCAGGGGACTGCCAAGAAACGGCTCATGATATGAGCAGGCCTTTGGGACGAGGTCCAAACCTTGTGGTGGGGGCTTCGTGTACAGTTGAGTTTGCGTAGTAGGTCAACTCTTCCGAATCAAGGTCACCCTTCCAACCTGTTATTCGTGTGCCGTGTCTTCTGCCTTCCTTGGACAGTGTGGTCTTCGGAAGTGTCTTGTGTCCCTTCGCGTGTCCTCCCCAATCAAACTTGACTGCACTGGGATGCTCAAGGCATCGGATGTGTGTGTGTGCGCCTGTGTGTGCGTGTGTGCGTGTGCGTGTGCGTGTGTGTGTGTATGTGTGTGTGAGTGTCGAGCGCCGTGGTGGCGTGCTTTCCCGGGTTCCTGTCAGGGGCGGCCCGGCCAGCCCCCCCCATACGGGCCGGCCCCGCCCGTCCTGGGGCGTCTAGGAGGAGGGTGAGGACCAGTGTCTTCGGACATACCATGGCAGGGGCCATGGTATTTTCCAAGAGTTCATGACCCCCTCTTCCCCACAGATCCGATGTCGTGATTTTTCCCATACGGGGTCCCAGGAAGTCTCGACCCATTCCCCAGGACTGGTTTTCGTCCCGAGTCGTTTTGTTGCCGGCCCCGAGGCCCGGCGAGGGTCCCTGGAGACCGAAAATAATAATAAAAACAAGCTCCGTTTTGATGTTTGCGAATACGTCGGATCTCTGGGCCTCATTTCCACACGTCGCCCGGCCAACACCCCCCACCTTGGGCCACGCGCGCGTGCCTCGGGCCACGCTCTGCGAGCCCCCCTCGTGGACGCCCCCCCCCCTCGTCGGGCGCTCCCCGTCCGCGACGGCCCGCCGCGAGGCGTGAGGGCAGGCGGCCAGACAGGAAACTCGAGGGCGAGGGGCACGGCGTGCGAGGGAGAGTCCTCACGGGAATGGCTTGTCGTGGAAGGGGTCCGTAGCCCTGAGATCCAGCGTAGCGGAAAAGTTGCTCCATCGTAAAACAATGAAACACGCCCAGACCTTTGGGCCCCATCTTTCTGCTTCGTTATTCAAGCCGGATCGATCTGTGAGGGTCCCTGGGGTGGGGCTCACCCATCTCAGCGGCGCGGGGATGTGACATCGGTCCAGGGTGAGCCTCTCGGCGCTGTTCCCCAGAGCTCTCGTCTCGACACTGCGGCTCCAGCTCTCGTGCTGGACAAGCGCACGGTTTGCCGTGGCCCACTAGGGTCACGAACCAGGCTCGAACCGAACCGCGACGAAGGCCGTCGCCTCCGCCCCACCATCGCAGGGAAGCACCCCGTCGCAGCTCGCCCGGGGCTCTCTCCCGCTGGGCTCCGATGCTCAGCTGCAGTGCCGGAGCCATCCGCGTGGGGCCCCCCGAGGCCAGGAGGACGACGACTCGCCATCGCAGCACGAGTCGCGGCAGGTGTCGCCGTCGCAGTTCGAGTCGCACCCCGAGTTCTTTCCCCAGACCAGCGGCGGCAGCCTGTCCGACAGCCCCCGCGCGCACCAGGACTGGGACTGGGCGAAGAGCAAAATCTGGGACTGGCCTGGCACAGCTGCTGCTTGGCCCTTCCTCCCAACCGCCGCGTTCTGCTGCTGGGGTCCGATCCCTGCAGGACAGGGCACAGTCGTCGGATCTGATCAGCGGCTCAGAACCCCCAAGTTGTCTCACAGCCCATGTCGTTGGGGGTCCACGTGCGGCGAATAACGTCTCATCGGTTATTGTCGCGCCCTTCGCATGCACGCACACACACAGCTTCTCAAGCATGAACTCCCAACATTTGGGCAAGCTGCTGCCATCCAAGCATGGCAAAGGTTCAGATGGTGGTAGCGGGACAGGTTGCATTCGACGCTTTCTGCTTGACTGTTTGCATCAGCTTTGGGTGGTACCCATGGAACCCATAATTCGCAAGCAGCACGTAGTGTGTACCCAGGAGGTGTCCGAGCATTCCCAGGTTTCGTCACGACATATGAGGGTGTTCAGGGACAGATGAGAGAGCGTCAGGATTTGTCAGCGATTCAGCGTTCGCAAAGTCACGGCATCTGCTCCGCAAGTGATCAGTTCCTCCAGTCGCAGCTTGCATGCAGGCGGCATGCACTTTCAGACCCGATTGCAGCTTCCAGGCTCTCTTGTTCTAAATTGCGCAGAAATGCTAGATTCGCGGTCTGGTTCCACACCGATCTTGCACACAGGCGTTCCCGAACAACAGATCACTTACTCTATACTCTCAAAGTGCTCCGAACCTGACCTTGCAGGGTGTTTGCGCCCAGCCCCGACGTGTCACAGATGAAAACTTGATTCTGCGGACCTGAAGGTGCCAGATCCGAAGCCAGCGAGGCGGGCAGACATGCATGTCGGGTGACGCTGTTCGTCAGCGCACATGTGAGGAGATGCGGTTCGCTCGAATGGTCCGAGCGTGCTGCATTCTGCCGCCCTGGCTCGGGGACCACACACACACAGCTATTGGCGCACCTTTCACGCCACTCCGGGGGGGGGCCGTTCACTCCATGCTCGGGGAGGTGTTCTTCGTTCGGACTCGCTCTGCAGGCCCCTCCCTGAAAAACCGCCCTGCCCAGTTGTTCGATTTTCCGCCACGCCTTTGCCACGAGGGCCCCTCCGAAGGCAAGCGAAACATCAGACATGACATACCACTCTGGGACGCGCTCAAACAAGAAGCCTGCCGGGAGGCAGGGGGAAGCAGAGGCAACACCTTGATTTTTGATTGTGCTGCCTCCTCGTCCCCCTCCCCCGAGAGAGAGAGAGAGAGGAGCAGCAGGAGGAGGAGGGAGCAGGAACAGGGAGTAGGAGGAGGAAAACGAGGAAGAGGAGGAGGAGGAGGAGGAGGAGGAGGAGGAGACGGAGGAGCCTCCTCCTCCTCCTCCTCCTCCTCCTCCTTGGGAAAAGGCGCGGGGAAACGTTCGCGATTATTTTTTGACACTCCAGCTCGGCCTCTGAGGCCCTTGGGGGCCGTGCCTGGGCAGAGAGATCCTCGAGAGGCGGCCCGTAGCGGCAAGACCTGGTCTCGGAGGCGGGGCCCACGTCGTGTTTTAATTGTCGTGGCGCCGGAGGCCTGGACGGAGGAGAGGCTGCGGCAGGCGCAGGAGGGGCAGGAGGAGGATCACGGGGAGGAGGAGGGGGAGGAGGAGGAGGAGGAGGAGCAGCAGGAGGAGGAGGAGGGGAGGCGGGGGGGGAGGGGGGGGGGGAGCGCAGCGCCTCTCGAGCGTCTCCCGCCGGCCGCGTTGGCGCGCGCCCGACGGACTACGCCGAGGCGCCCTCACGCCACGATGGCGGAGAGGGCAAGGTTGAAGAAAGTGTGGAGGAAGACCCGCTCGCAGATGAAAAGGGTCAGGGGCGCGTCGACGCAGGCCAGCTTGCCGTCGACGAAGCTGGCGTCGCCGCCGAAGAAGACGCCGTGCCACCAGACGACCACGGCGTCATATATGTCGTCACGCCCCTCCCTCCCAACCCTTACCATGGCGCAGATATGTTCTTCATCCGCACAAGCTGGTATCGAGCAAGGTACTGATCCCGAAATGGGTTGCGATGCGTGGTAAAACACGGCAAAGCATGGTGTAGAAGAGCGCGGCAGAGCAGAGCATGCCATGGCATGGTTCGGCATTGCGTAGTGTAACAGTGCATCGCAAAGCGTAACATCGCAAAGCATGGCATCACACAGCCGAGCACAACGCAACATCGCGTTGCATGCCATGGCATGGCACCTGATGCCTTGGAGGGTAAATCGCCCGTGTACGAAAGGAACAGGCCTGTCCGGAATCCCGGCTCCATGTCTTGCGCGACCGTGCTTGCCCGATGTGGGCGCTTTTGAATGCTAGCTAAGTGCCGTCTGTTAGGGGTGCTGTAATAGTGTCAGGCCCCCCCCCTCCTTTCGACACGCTGGCTTGCGTTCCCCGAGCCCCCTTCCAAGTCTCCCTGGGTTCCCTGGATAACTCTGCACGAGGCGTGGCGGGTGGCCCGAAGACTTCCGGAAACTCCAGGAAACGCACAGAAGATACCGACGGCGACAACGACGCAGACGACGGCGGCGGCGGCGGCGAGGGAAGCTGCGGCGGGCGAGGACGGATATCAGGGAATAGTACGGCGGGCTGCCAGGCTCCACGGTCTGGCTTCCCTGAACACTCGGCTTACACTGGACCCCCGGACCCCGCACGGGGTCCAGTCGGATCGGCGCTGTCCAGCCGGATCGGTTTTTGAGGTCCCCCGGGGCCCGACGAAAGGCTTCCGCGGCCCAGAAAATCACTGAACCGACACCGACTGTGCAACCAGTTCCGATGGTTTTTCCGGGGGGGCATTTTCTAGATTTGGGGCCGATCTGGAAGGACCAAAAACCATGCCGTGGCATGGCGTTGGAAATTTCGACGCCAACGCTGCAGCGGGAGCATGATTCGGAACGAGCGGAAGCGCAGAAATGAGGCAAGCGTTGCAGCGGGAGCGCGATTCGGAAGACGCGCAGCCTGACATAATTAGCATGTCGTGGCGACGCCCCAAGTGGGGGGGTGGCTTCTGCGGCAACGAATCGACACCGAATGTGTAGTCACTTCCGATGGTTTTTCCGGGGGCAATTTTGTATATTGTGGGGCATATTTGGAAGGACCAATAACCATGCCGGGCCGTGGCATGGCGCTGGAAATGATGACGCACGCGCTGCAGCGGGAACGCGATTCGGAACTAGCGAAAGCGCGGAAATGGGCACAGCGGTGCAGCGGGAGCACGATTCGGAACGAGCAGTACCCCGAAAATGAGGCCAGCGCTTCAGCGAGAGCAGCATTTTGAAGAAAAACCAAAACCACAATTCGTTTCCCAGGAATCTTGTGTAACAAACAATACGCGGAGGGGGGCCGAGTATTTCTTGGACGCCACCAGGGGGGAGAGGAAAGTAGCATTCAGGTTGCGCATTTGTGGAGGAGGAGGAGAAGGGGAGGCTCCACCCGCTGGGATCTCAAGCCATCAAGAACCAAGAACCAGGCGGAGGAGGAGGGGTGGAGGAAGAGGAGGACGAGGACGAGGACAAGAAAGAGACCATGGAGGAGAAGACGGAGAAAGAGGAGGAGGAGGAGGAGGAGGAGGAGGAGGAGAAGGAATGTGATGATAAGCGGGATAATAGAGCGAGTGGGAGCAGGAGGAGGAGGAGAAGGGGAGCGCCACGTGTGCTCGTGACGTTTCATCGCCAGGTTTCCGATGGACAACCTTGGTAAGCGTCCCTGCGGCAGGGAAACGTAATTTCTAAGTGCCCTCCCCCAGCTCACTTCAGGTAGGGTCTCGCCATCGAGGAATCGAGATATTGAAGTTTCGCCCTTGGCGAACACTGGCGGAAGGCTTGCGGAAGCCGCCGAAAGAGGAACGAAGGCGGCTCTTGTGGCCGACGTCGGGTAGAAGTTGGCGGAAATGAAATTGACACCAAAAGTTGGGAGTCTTCCACGTGGCGTGCGTGAAGAGCAACAGAATCTGTCCCAGCTCTGCGCACAACACGGGAGTGCGAGACCGCGAAGATGGGCACTCCTTTCAGGCGCCTGTGTTTGCCCAACCGCTCTTCTGCGCGTTCCAAAGCTCGGCGGCGAGCCCTGGGGGGGCAGTGAGAAGAAGCGGGCCTTTTCAGAAGGCTCGGAAGGTCCCTGGCCTTCTGAGACGTTTGCTCAGCCTTCCCCGAAGGCACAGAAAACCGTTCAGAAGGCGCGAGGCCTTCTCAGAAGTCCTGGCGCCTTCTGGGAAGGCCTTCTTCTTCTCGCTTCCCCCTCTCGTTTGCCGCCGAACCCAGCCAATGTGTGTGGGTGCTGCGGTTGTTTCCCGTATGGTTCATTGACGCGCTGGGAGCGGAGGGCCAGAGGCTCTCGGCCAGGTCGGACCACTGGGGCTGCTCCATCTGATTTGACCCTTTTTCTTGGCGCGTGTCTTTCTGCGCTGCACGGTGGCCTTTCATTCGGCGGCGAACGAGGGGAGAAGTGAGAAGGAGAAGGCCCTCCCAGAAGGCGGCAGGGCTTCTCAGAAGCCCGCGCGCCTTCTGAGAGTTTTTCTTTGTCTTCGGGGAAGGCTTAGCAAACTTCTCAGAAGGCTGGGGGACTTCCGAGCCTTCTGAGAAGGCCCTGGGCTCACCGCCGATTCATGGCTCCCCCGAGGATTGATGAGGGACCGCGGGACATCGTCGGAGGTACTGCTGGCCAGCGAACGCCGCTTCCCACATATTCGTGACGCTTTTGCGCGAAGCCGCCGGCGTGGTGGCCGCAGCAAGCCCGGCAGAACGTCTGGACAACGCCAGGGATGGGACCGATTTCGAGCGGATTTGCCTCGATGCATGCGCGAAGGAAGTGGATCTGTTTCTTGTTCCGTGAAGCGTGTGATCATGTGGCCCCCCCAGGTGCGTGATGTTTGACGACCTAGCTCCCACCGTTCCAGTCTAGGCGCCATGAGTGCAGCTGCTCGCCGAGCCTCTGTGACCACTTGTGAAGCCTTCTGCTGCGGGTCCGATCGACGCAGGGCTGTATCGGGCACCCCTGCTGGGGTTCACGTGGCTGCATACATTTAAAAAATCGGACCCCCCGCGGGAACTCGAGTTAAGTCGGCCCTGTCCCTCTATAGGAGGAATATTCCAAAATAGTCAAAAATTAATATGGGAACGCCGTTTCGACTACTGTTCCACTACTTGGGAGTATGTTCTGCCTCTGTCTTTTAATTGCCGCCCAAAATACGTTGGTATTGGGGACACGCCCGACCACATGCTCGAGAGATCTAGCCCGCAAAAGGTGGGGTGCACACCGGGCGTCTCCCAGGAGGGGCCTCTCCTCGGGCGGCGCGCGTCTCCCCTATCGGCGGGGAGGCCCCCGCGGGACGCCCGCGAAAGCAGGACGGAGGCGGACCCCGGGAGGGCTGGGGGAAGCAAAACGGAGCCGTCACCATTTCTGACGTCAACATTTCGGGAAGCAAGAACGAGACGTCAACACTTTTGGAAGCAAGAACGAGACGTCACCACTTCTGGAAATCAGAAAGAGACGTCACCATTGCTGGAAGCAGGAACGAGACGTCAACACGATTGGAAGCAAGAGCGAGACTTCACCATTTTCGGAAACAACAACGAGACGTCAACTTTTTTGTCAAGCAAGAACGACACGTCACCATCCTCGGAAGCAGTAGCGACACGTCAATTGTTGGAAGCAGGAACGAGACGCCAACATGTTTGGAAACAAAAGCAAGACGTCACCATTTGCGGGAGCAGAAACCGAGACGTCACCATTTCTGGAAGCAAGAACCGAAACATCACCATTTGTGGCTGCACAACGAGGCGCCACCATGTTTTTGACAGCCGAAAACGAGACGTCATCACTTTTGGAAGCAAGAGCGAGACGTCACTTTTTTTGGATGCAAGAACGAGGCGTCACCACTTCTGGAAGCAAGAACGATGCGTCACCATTGTTGGAAGCAAGAACGAGACGTCAACATCTGTGGAAACAAGGGCGAACTGCCAACATGTTTTAAAAGCTAGGACGGGGCTTCACCATTTTTTGAAGTTCAAGCCAGACGTCAACATTGTTGGAAGCAAGAACGGGAAGTCAACATTTCTGGAAACGGAAGTAAGACGCCACCCTTTCTGGACGCACAAGGGAAACGCCAACATTTCCAGAAGCAAGAACCGAGACATCACCATTAGGTGGCCGCAAAAACGAAACGTCACCATTTTTGGAAGCAAGAACGGGACGTCACCATTTTTAGGAGCAAGAACGAGACGCCACCAAACTTTGGAAGCAAAAGCGGGACGTCACCATGCTTGGGAGCATGAACGAGACGTCAACCATGTTGGAAGCAACAAAGAGGCGTCAACCTTTCTTCAAGCAAGGACCGAGGCGTCACCATTTCTGGAAGCAAGAGCGACACGTCACTATTATTGGAAGCAAGAGCGAGACGTCACCATTTCTGGAAGCAAGAGCGAGACGTCACCTTTTTTTGGAAGCAAGAGCGATACGCCACCATTCCTGGACGCCAGAAACAGACGTCATCACTTCTGGAAGCAAGAACGAGACGTCACCATTCTTGGCAGCAAGAACGAGACGTCAACATGTTCGGGGACAGATGCAAGACGCCACCGTTTGTGGAAGCAAAAAACGAGACGTCAACACTTCTGGACGCAAGAACCGAAACATCACCACCTGTGGTGGCAAGAGCGGGACGTCACCTTTTTTTTGGCAGCAAAGACGCGATGTCACCATTTGATTGGAAGCAACAACGAGACATCGCCATTCCTTGGAAGCCAGAACGAGACGTCAACAGTTTTGGGAGCAAGAACGAGACGCCAACATTCTCAGAAACAACATCGGCACGTCACCATTTCTAGAAGCAACATCGAGGCGTCACCACTTTTGGAAGCACGAACGAGACGCCACCGCCTTTGGAAGCAAATGCGAGACGTCAACATGTGTGGAAACAATAACGAGACGTTCGGATTTGTTGGAAGGAACATCGAAACGTCACCGCTCTTGGAAACCAGAACGAGGCGCCAACATTCCCTGCAAACAAGAACGAGACACCAACACCTTTGGTAACAAAAACGAGGCGCCACCACGTACGGAAGCAAGAACGGGTAGTCAACATGTGTGGGGGGCAAAAGCGAGACGTCGACATTCTTGGAAGAAAAATGCGAAACGTCATCATTTTGGGAAGCAAGAGCGAGACGTCAACTTTTCTGGAGACAAAAGCGGCACGTCACCATTCTTGGGAGCAAGAACGAGATGACACCGTTTTTGACAGCAGAAACGAGGCGCCATCATTTTTGGATGCAAGAACGAGACGTCAGAACGTTTAGACTCAAAGCGAGACGCCAGCATGTTCGGAAGCAGCAGTGGAATATCAGCAGTTATGGACAAAACGGGACGCCACCACTGTTTAATGCAAGAACGAGACGCCACCGTGTTGGAAGCAAAAGCGAGAGGTCAACATTTGTGGGCGCAAAAAACGAGACGTCACCATTTTTCGAAGCAAAAGCAAAGCGTCAACATCTTTGGAATCAGTAACGAGACGTCAACATTGTTGGGAGCAAAAACGAGACGTCAACATTTGTGGTAGCAAAACACGAGACGTCACCAATGTTGGAAGCAAGCGCGAGTCGTCAACATTCGTGGGGGCAAAGACGAGACGTCACCACTTTGGAAGCAAAGACGAAGCGTCAACATCTTTGGAAGCAACAGCGAAACGCCAACACTGCCGGGAGCAACGCCGAGGCGTCAACATGTTTGGGAGCAGAAGCGATACGTCACCATTACGGGAAGCAAGAGCGAGTCATCAACATTTGTGGAAGCAAAAAACGAGATGCCGAGTTTTTGGAAGCAACAACGAGACGTTACCAATTTTCGAAGCAAGAACGAGACGTCACCATTCTTGGAAGCACCCAACGAGACGTCAACACTTTGGGAAGTAGAAGCGGGACATCACCGTCTGTGGCAGCAAGAACGGGACGTCACCATTTTTGGAAGCAAAACTCAGACGTCACATTTTTGGGGGGGAGCAAAAACGAGACGCCACCATGTTTGAAAGCAAGAACGTTTGGAAACAGGTTTTCCGAACTCGGCCGCATGCGGTCGCAAATGTTTGGCGAGAATCGGCGGCAGTCCCCCGTTCTGCCCCCCTTGTCTGTTCCCTGCCTCTGCCTCTCCCTCCTCTGCCCCACCATTCTGCTTCCTTTGCGCACGCAGCAGGCGCTTTCTCCTGCCAGCAGAGGCAGCATTTGGATCACCACGACAGGGGACCTCGAAGAGGAAAGCAGTGGAGCAGACTTGGGGGCTGAATCGGCGTCACCCCAACATACTAATACTATGTGTGCGTTGCCCCCCCAAGGGCGACGCGCGCACCGAGAAACTTATGGTATACGCGGCGTGGCGGGTGTTTTCTGGCCATACCGCTCGGAAAACGATATACTATCATATGGGTGTACTATATGTTATGGTCGGGAATGCCTCCAAGGAGGACATGTTTTCCAATCAGTGCTTGCACTGAAGGGGTCCTGGCGGAAGTTGAAAGATTTGGCGAAAGTTCCCCGCCGATGTTGGTAGCAGGCTGGGTTTCCGGGTTCCCGGTTCTGGGTTCCCGGGTTCCCCGTTATTGGTTCCGGGCCAATTTCGGTGGGCGGTTGGGTTCCCGGGTTCCCGGGTTTTTTGCCGATTTTCTGATCGATCGGTCTCACCATCGATCTCAATACCCACCTATCTATCGATCTCACCATCGATCGATATCACAATCGATCGCATTATCGATCTCACAAGCGATCTCATTATAGATCACACGAGCGATCTCTCCATCGATCTCATTATCGATCTCATTGAATCGGCTTCATTATCGATCTCACGATCGACCTTACAATCGTCCTCACGATCGATCCCACTATCGATCTCACGATCGATCTCACAATCGATATCACAAACGATCTCAAGGTCCACATTTTTTTTCAAGCCATCCACTGATTGGGGTTTCTCTCTGGTGCAATAGTACTACTATGTCCCTATGTGCCCCATGGAACGGCACCCGTCAGCGGTATTTCTCAAGGGTCACATCTCGCCGCGGGGTAGTTGCTGGGTCCCCGCGCAAGACGGCCACCGACCCCCGGCCTGGTGGGCTCTCCCAGGAGATCAGCGCGCATGCTGTTCAAGTGTCCGTGGGCAGTGCGATGAGCGCGCGAGGAGGTGGTGAATAGGGACTGCTGGAAGGGATTTGTTTTGGGGGGGGGCATGGGTTGATCTCTGGGGCGACCTAGCGCGCCACAGGCGGTGAACTTGTCCGGGGCCCTCTGGGCCTTCTGAGCGACAGGGGTGCGGCCCCTCAGCGCAGGCCCCCTGTGCACTCTCTGGGCTTCGCCTGGCACTGCGTCAGCAGAGGACGCCTTTCGGCTGCCCCGACGAGCTGAAGGGGACCCCTCGCCAGAGTGGCTTTGGGTGCGGGCCCGCCAGGGACCACCGATCGCCAGATGCGCTGCGATAGCACTGGCCTTTGCGCGCCGAGGCTTGGCCCCCCCCCCCCCCGAGAAGCTGCGCGCCAAGAGCCCACTCTTGCCCAGGGCCGCTGTTGCGTGCAGCCGAGCTTTGCCATAGGAGGAGGAGGAGGAGGAGGAGGAGGAGGAGGAGGAGGAGGTCTGTGCCGCTGGCGG